GTTTCTACCGAAGCGACTTCGTCCGAAAACATAGCTGCGGTTTTCCGAGGTTCCGGGAAGTACATAGGCAGCTGCGTGTAGTGCCGAAGCGGCGGCGTTCTTCTTAGCCTTTCGCAGATTAGCAGCTTCAAGCTTTGCCGACCAGTCCGGTCTGATGCGGTCAGTCGTAATAACATTTGAATCATTAGCTGACAATGAAGTGGCCCGGCGCCTGTTGTCGCCTCTTGGTGCAAGCCCCGGACTTGGTATAGGCGGTGAACTGATCGATGACGACGATGACATGGCCGAAGAGAAGTTGGCCAGTTCTGGAGGTGGCTTTGCATAAACAAGTCCACGGCGGAAAGGCGGTGGTTCGTATGTCACGCCAAATTCGGGTCGCTGACAGTAAGGACACGCGGCTGGTTCCGAGACCAGCATTTCTGTATCTTCGGCTTGATCGGGCGCGGGTTGTGGTGGACCGTGGTGTTCTGGCGTATGCGGATCCGGTCTCTTAATTTGTACAAAGCATTCCGAGCAAATACTTTGGTCGCAACATCGAGTCCTATTTAGATAAGGGGGGTAAAATATCAAGCATATTGAGCATTCAACAGCGTCTTTGTACAGAAAAGCCTCGATAGCTTGACCATTTACTTGGGAATCTCTGGGTAATTGAATCTCACGCGGTCCCGAATCCGATGCCGAGGTTTCCTTCGACGAAGATTTTAGGCCTAACGTTTTAGCTCGAGGTCGGAGTAAAGAGGTAGAAGTGACAGGTGCATTCAGGGGCGATGCCGGAGATGACGTGTTGAAAGATGAGTGTGACGGTGAGCGGCCAACAGAGGTGTCGTATGAAGCAGATTGGCTTCGTGAAGCTATTGGCACAGTCAAATTCTGTAGATTCGAGTTTGGTGCATTCGCGGAATTGGAAGAATGAGGCCTGCCACTGTCTTCGGAAGGTATTTCATCAGCGGCTGGAATGGGAAGGCCTCGCCCTGCAGCGACCAACTGATGTTCGGTCCAATCACTCTCATAATCATCTAGCCCCCTCCAAAAAGGTGCAACTCGCCGCTCAATCTCGTACATGTCAGCATATTGACTAGGCATCAAATATCATAATCTTTAACATACCATCAACTGTCTTACTATTGCCTTGTTGAAATCTTCTGGGCCAGTGTAGACGCCCATTGTAACCAAATATCCACCATCTACATGCTCCTCCCTAATGCTTCTCTCTCGCTCTTCTACTCTTGCAACCCTCTCCCTCTCGAGTCTCCTCATTTGTCGCTCGGCCGCTGTCTCCTTCCTCTCCGGTACTTCGTTGTTTGATCCGCCTCCCACAATAGCTGCTACTAGATTTCGCCTGCTGCCTCTGCCAGTACGAGAAGAATATGGATCGTGGTCGGATGGAGAAGTTGGCCCATTCGTACCGGCGCCATGATGTCGATGTCTATCCCCGCCATGCGAGTCGTCCCGCGACTGGTGCTGACCCATTTTGCAGTCGCAATGTCCGCAGAAGTAGGAATCAACTGTTCATCGAGGATTGGGGTTGGTAAGAACTATATCCAAGAGAAAGTCTCGAGTTGGCATGCGCTGCCAACTTCTTGAGATTGAGTGAATGTTGTGAATTTATGCAGGTTCTCGGCAAGCGTGGGGAGTTGTGATTGTAAGGTTTATTATATCGCCTGAGCCACAGTAAAGGTCCACTCCCAATCTGGATCACACGAGCCAAATTCAGATAAAGACGAGTTGGGTTCCCTTTTTGTTGTTGACAAGAGGGGTGAGAAGATACAATCAGCTGCGACCTTTGTGATAAGGAAAAGTCGTCTGGGTCAAGCTTGTGATATTCCTCTTCTTGCCCAGATGATGGATGTTTTTGCGGAGGTAGAAGAACTTATTAGATAACTGGTAAATGAAGGGGACCGGAAGAAAGATTGGCGGAGTGGCTTTCTTTCTTATACTCGTATTCCTGTAGCTAATCGTCAAGATGCCTATATCCCTACGAGATTGTAGATCTCCTGAATTTTATGATGGAATAGTGGGTAAGAGAAGACCAAAGTTAAATTTCTAGGAGTGTTATGACGGTAGAGGTAGAGATGGACAAAGCCTTAATGTAACAATGCAATCAATCAATGCAGGAGAAAGTTGGAAGGGGGGATTCTCTTGGAAAGTCGTGTTGAGGAGAGTGATGTTGAGAGTGCAAGGAGAGTATTGAGGAATTGGAGAATGGATGAGTTGAACAATTGAACAATTGAAGAATTGAAGAATTAATAAAGAATTGTGTTCAAGATTGGCAATCCATCCACACCTGGGTAGCTTTCAGCTATTCAATCAATCAATATTTTGACTAGTCGTGGCCAGACGGATTCCATATGATAGGCAAAAGGTTATAAAAATGGGTTGGTGTGCTTCGTAAGGCCGCTCTTTCCGACAGAGTGAAAGCAGCTGGAGGTACAAATGAATTAGTCCGTCGAGGAGTCGTAGAGGAGACGGAGACGGAAGAAGCAGTCAGGGCAGGGCAGGACCGAGAGATTCAATTGAATATGATCATCTACTAGATATTACTCGTACACAGTTTACAATTGCATCAATATCTAGCACGGCATATCTTCTGTATAAACAGACATCTCTACAAAGTATCTCTATCTCTATCTCTATCTCTATCTCTATCTCTATCTCTATCTCTATCTCTATCTGCGTCTGTGTCTGTGTCTGTACCAAGACAGGGACATTTCGGTACTCAGTTATTATAATTCCCAAGCGTTCACGTCAAATGCGCCCGTTTTCAGCCATCCATCAGGGAAAAGGGAACAAGCCATCACATTATCCATGCAATCATAACATACGGAGTAATACCTACCCAGGTTCCATGTGTCTGCCACTCACTGTCTGGTCTTCATCATCATTTCAATCCCATCTACATCGTACATGCTAATGAGTGGGTAGGAGGAACCTATGTATGGAGTTCCTCATTACCAACTCCATGTTTCCTTCCTTTCTTTTCTTCTTCTTTTCCTCTTCTTTTCCTGTTATTTCTCTCAAATTCACATTTTAGTCCCAATTTGACTTTCGCTAGATGGACATTTCCATTCGAATTGACTTATTAGTACCGCACTTTGACAATATCGGTACTAGAAAATTGAGCGTGGAATATTAGGTCGAGGTCAGGCAGGTAAGATCCGTCCGTTGATCCTGATCTAGAATCTAATCCTTCGGGTCGTACCTTACTCTGGCGTGGATGAAGTGTCCAATCCGAGGTTAGGTAATTAGTGGAATTTCTGAATCGGGACTATTGTGCCTGACTTGAGATCTGCCTGTCATGTACTTATACTGACTGTATTATTGTCAAATTGCTCCTGTCCCAATCTTGGAGACGGGATTCGTTGTACTTTTCTTCCACTGTGTTGGGAATATTAGTACCAGTCCAATCTTGGAGAGAGATGCTCCCTCCGCAAACTCCTTTCTGCCATGTATACCAATGAATCCTTAATACCATCCACTTTTCAGTATATTTGAAGCATTTCTTTTTCGAGACGACTTTGACACGATGTCCTTCAATAAACAAATTGAGGGGCAGAGGAGGGGCTTTGTGCTTTACATACATTAGGTAGGTACTTTATCCTTGGTATAATCACAGTCCCAGGTATTTGGGATTCGCCAAGTTTCAACAGGCTATCAAATGCTCTCGATGAACCGTTGTTCATATGCATATCGACCGAACCTTGGAGATTGCATAGATCAACTTACCAAGTCTGCATGATTAGAACGGAAGATTAATCATGCAATGCACCCGAATACAGATACAACATCTCCTCCGCGCCATTAACACCAATGATCGATGAATGATTATGATGATAATAAGGCGACGGACAAACACGAAAGTAAAGCTGATATCGAACATTGACATAGAACACATGAGATGATTTTTCCCATGATTCTAGATTTCTCACCATGTTTTAGGGCTCCTCACCCCACTAAGATTGATTGTTGACTGTTGAGAGATCCAGTCATCCATCGCCTAGTCGCGCGACCTGCCATTGAGTCGGTCGATAGTCGGAGTGTTCGGATTACGAAGTTTAGAACCCAGAACTTATTAGAACGTCCACGTACTCTGTAGAATCGAAAGTTCCAGGTTGGCTCGGTTGGCTCTGAATAATCGAAAGATCAACAGGGTCTTGGAAGATACCAGCGAGATCAGATGCATCGTTCGCATGAACTTTTTTCCCTTCGAGATCATGTGTCTCGTTTCGTCTGGTCTCCTCTTTTTCCCCCTCCAAATTCTCTTACACACGCGCGTAAGTTTCTACTTGCAAGATGAAACCCGATGAGTTGAGATGATGCCAGTTGAGACAGAAAAGAAAGATGGCCTTTATCGTGAAGATCGATCGAACTGGAATACCTACGCCCTTGTAGTATTGTGGCTGGGAAGACCTTATCAATGGTGTCCTACCTCAGCCTAGCGAGCCTACCTAGCGGAAAACACCCAGCAAAACTGGCTTCGCTTCACTAATTGAGAGATCGAGGGTCACAGGTACAATTTGCATTGACATTTCTGCTAAGAATGGGTGATAAAGTCAAATTTATTTAGGATAATTCAAATCTCAGATACATTCAGGCTGAATTCATTCAATGCCTTTTAACCATCCTAATAGGTCAATTTGTGACATTCCTTCCATCAAAATCTGCCAAGAGGGGTAGTACGAATTCAGAAGGAGGGATAAAATCATCTAACCCCACTATAACGTCTTCCCACAAGCCTCCAATACATTTTTGATCTCTCACAATCATTCAAACGACCGTGGCAGCACATTGACAATTCTCACAAAAGGTGACTAACTGAAATCATTCTTTCTTTCTTTCTTTCTGCATTTTATTTTACTTCTTCCCCAGCTACATTCTTCCTTCCTTTCAAACTTACATACATTCTTTTTTTATGGTCCATCTTCAGATCGCTCGAACATAGGTAGTCTTCAACGACCATTCAACAACACTGCACGGCTACATTCGGGTTACCCATGTACAATATGACAACTCGCCCACCACTTTCAACTCTTCTTCCACCTCTCATCTGCGGCACCGGAACTTTCAATATTCAATATAATGCCGATCCCTTCGCACTCCCTGCAAATGCTATTGTGCAGAGAGCATTAGAATCGGGCGTAAATGCCTTCGATACATCTCCATACTATGGTCCCTCTGAAGAAATTCTAGGTAAGAATATCTTCTCTCTTTCTTTCGATTTTCCCCCTTCCCTCAATCTCCACAAGCCCATGTTCTAACTCATCTGTAGGTCGCGCCCTCCAACAACCACAAATCCTCGCCAATCACCCCCGCTCTAGCTATTACCTCATAACAAAATGCGGTCGCATCGCCGCTTCTGAATTCGACTACTCTCCCGCATGGATCAAATATTCCATTTCCCGCTCTCTCGCCCGTCTCCACACATCCTACCTCGATGTTGTCTATCTCCACGACGTCGAATTTGTTTCTCCCTCGGAAGTCCTCGAGGCCATAAACTGTCTGCGCGAGCTCCAGGCTCAAGGCATAATCCACTACATTGGAGTATCAGGATATCCCGTCCCGCTTCTCTGTTCCACCGCCGAAATGGTTTTGCGCGAGACGGGTAAACCTCTCGATTGCGTCATGAGCTATGCAAACTTCACGCTCCAGAATCACTCTCTATATACTAGCGGGCTTGCGCGTCTCCGCAAAGCAGGCGTGGATTGTGTGCCCAGTGCTTCGGTTCTGGGCATGGGGCTTCTACGCAGCTCCGGGGTCCCAGTGCCCGGGAAGGAGGATTGGCATCCCGCGCCCAAGGAGCTCCGTTCTCGAGTTCAGAAGGCGGCGCGATGGGTAGAGGAACGAGGGGAGCGATTAGAAGTGGTGGCTATACGGTGGGGTCTTGAACGCTGGGCTCTCGATGGTAAAGTCGGCTCGGAACCTATCGGGGTATCCCTCATGGGTGTGAGTAATATAGGAGAGTTTGAGGAGACTCTACGAGTGTGGAACAGTATCTTGGACGGGATCGATATACCCGGACGAAAAGTCACGGAAGCGGAAAAGCAATGGAGTTTGAAGAGGAGAGAAGAGACGGAAGCGTTAGCGAAAGGGGTTAGGGAGATCCTTGGGGAGTATCGCGATTTCGCATGGGCAAGTCCTGATGAAGGGTTTGTGAATATGAGGGTGGTCAAGGGGGTTGTGGATGAAGTTGCTCCGATGCTGCCGGCAGAGTAGAGCGGTGCTGTTGAGAAGGCGGAGGATGTTGTAGCGATCAAGGATTCGGACAAAGGTAGTAGACTTTGAATGTCTACTGTAATCTCATCTTGGCCCTATTTGGTTTACGTATTACTCATACACGCACATAGTCATCAAAAAAGGGTATTGCATGCATGACTTGGATAAGCGAAGGCGTTATTAGTTGTTCGATTTCAATGCTTTTCAATTTATGTGCTGGCAGCTCTCACGCAATTATCATAGCCATATCTAGAATCAAGATCAGCCTTCTTTGCTTTTGGTGACTTTTAGATTCGTAAAGGATGAAGTTGAATATCCAGGACCATTTTTATGGGAATCAACCCAAAAATGAGATACCACCAGTAACTGCCAGAGATGAAAAATGGCATGATGCAAAGAAACTTTTTGTCAAAAGGAATATGGTCTTTTTTTCTTCTTGATATCAGAGCTCTCAAGATCCACAACATGTCCAGAAGAACTCAATTCACAAATCGTGACGAGCAGTAAAAACTCCATTATACGCCATACTTCGCATTTTTTCCCAAGAAAAGATTTAACCGAGCACTTTTTATTCGTCCAAACATATACCCCCGTAAATCTAAACAGAAGAATGCTTGCGACGTTCTCGGACAGCATCGGCAAGCTGCTCGAGGACTTCGACGGTAGATTCCCAGTTGATACAAGCATCGGTGATGCTGACACCCTTCTTGAGACCAGATGGTCCCTCGGCAGGAACTTTTTGGTTGCCTTCGTTGATGTTGGACTCGATCATGACACCAATGATGGATCTTTCACCAGCACGGAGTTGGTCGCCGACAACTTGGGCTACCTTGGGTTGGTTTCGGTGGTCCTTGTTTGAGTTTCCTAGGAGGTTTATTAGAGAATTTGTCATGTGAGATTGTGTAGAAAAGACATACCGTGAGAGCAATCAATCATGATCGCTTGCTTTTGGTTCTTCTTGGTCAAAGTATCCTTGGTGAGCTTGACGTTCTCGGCATCGAAGTTGGTACCCTTGGTACCACCACGCAAGATAACGAATCCGTGCTCGTTGCCACTAGTTCTGGTGATAGCAGCAAGACCCTGTTTTGTAACACCCATGAAGTGATGTTTGGCAGCCGCAGATCCAATGGCATCAATTGCAACAGTCAAGCTTCCATCGGTACCGTTCTTGAATCCAACTGGGAAAGAGAGACCTGATGCAAGCTCACGATGCAATTGTGATTCGGTGGTTCTTGCACCAATGGCACCGAGGGAGATCAAATCTGCGAGGAATTGAGGGGAGATGGTATCGAGCATTTCAGTTGCAATGGGCATGCCGGTGCTGGTGAGATCGCAGAAGAGTTGACGACTAATTCTTAAACCCTTGTTGATCTTGAAAGACTCGTCAATATCCGGGTCGTTGATCAAACCTTTCCATCCGACAGTTGTGCGGGGCTTCTCGAGGTAGGCACGCATGATAATGCAAAGATCGCTCGACAATTTATCGGAAAGATCCTTCAGTCTTTTTGCGTACTCGATAGCGGTGCTGGGGTCATGAAGGGAACAAGGACCGACGACAACCAAGAGGCGGTCATTTCTACCCATAATAATCTCGACGGCATCTTTACGGCCTTGCACAACGGTCTTGAGAGAATCATTTGTGATGGGGATTTCGGAAACAAGTAGTTGAGGAGGAATCAAAGGGTCTTGACCCAGAACTACAAGATTGGCAAGAAGATCAGTATTTATATTTGAAGAAAGAGAAGGAAATTGATTTTTTGGCGGGGGTCATACTTCGAGTGTCGTCAGTGACGAGGGGTTCGAAGTCAAGTTGAGGCATCTTGTTTGAGATATGAATATGATTTCAAAAAGGGGAGATATGGGGAGGGATCTTATAGATCTTTTCTGACGCTGACTTGACTTCTTAAATCAATGGTAATACAGTTGTTGTTTATTTTTTGGGTGAGATTGTCTCGAGTTGCTTCGTTGTCGAGCTGTTGTGTAAAGTGAGTCAAGGTCAAAAATTATAGGTGGATCTGGAAAAAGTTCATAAAGTGGTAGCGCTCGGACTAAATTGACAAATGAAAGTGTGGGTGTTGTTCGATAATTAGTAGATATGCAGTGACATCTTTAGCCAAGAAGAAAGCTCGGATTGATCAAAGGGTTTGAATGATTCCAGTTATTCTAGTAGAACTAAGGGTTTGTTTAGGTCTGCGAGGTCGCATTCCGTGAACATGTCAGATTGTCAGATGTCTATGTAGAGTAAGTATCCATCTGATGTGTCGATATAGAGTCAATGTTTAATTTGTTGACATGTTGGCATCAAAACTTCAAATGAATTTCTTGCAATTCATCCTGTGTATAGGTTGTGTGTAGTAGATGGGCATTCGTATATCAATTGAAATGCTCACGGCGTTATTATTCGCTCTCTCCACAATATGCCCGCTCACGAAGGTTTATATCTTCAGGTCAGACCCAGGTTAGACAAAATAAGCTGATGTTGCTTATGGGAGGCTAATGCTCTCATGGCCGGTTTGACTGGGTGTGGAAATTCACGCATCTCAAGGCCGGATATCTATCGTTGATGGTGCCTATAGCTATTAGATGGGTAATTGCAGACGATATAGTATGTGAACTCTCCCTCTCCCTCTCTCCTCGACATGGCTGGAAGAGACAGTAAGAAAGTCTTTGTACACTCTCATCTGAAATCGCATACACAGGCGATCGTCTGCACATTCTTGTCTGAGCTAGTATGGAGAGAATGATCTGTTGAATTTCGTCCCATTGTGAATAACAATAAAGGCTACCTACCTAGGTATTTATTATCAGCATAGCATAAGCATTCACAGATGTAACCATGACTCCCAACGTTGGGAAATCTTGTCGGACGAGAGAGCCGAGCCATCTTGAAAGAGACAGAATTGATAAGAAGATCTACCGGTACTGTCGATCGAACTGGTGAACCCTGATAACGATACCTGTACCTTTAGAAGCTCTAACGTTGGAATCTTTCAGCCTTGTCTGATGATTCCGATTATCATTGATCTAAACCCAAAAGAGTCTAGCCTTATCAATTTCCATACAGTAAAAAGAGGTTTCCCCAGAAATTTGTTAGTGTCCTAGTGAGCCTAGAAGAATCTCAAAACATCCAAGTACACGATGAAGCATTTATGAAACTCACCAACTATTTTACGATGCGACCTATCTAGCCCTGTCAGCTAATTCCCAATTAGGTACCAATGACTTACTTCCACTGGGGTTTATACTGCAGTATTTACAATTGATTTGAAAAGGCCTTTGACCGACTCTTCTCAGAGTTACCATCACGTTCCTGCATCTTCATTCAAATGTCTTGAGCGTCCATCGATTGTCACTTGTTTAAATACAACCCTTCTTTGGTGCGGCTGAATCCTCTCCAGCCTTGCCACCTCCTTCTTAACTATCTATCTGCCCCACACAATAACACACATCAATACCTTTTACCTCCATCAGACAACCTCGTGGAAGATTTATCAACATGTTCGTACCACAGTGGCCGAGTAGGAAGCGCGAAAGAGACGATGAGGATGAACTAAGCACTTCAGGCTTTGGTGCTCACAGAAATGTAAGCATTGCACTCACTTCAGTTTCAGATCACCAACAGGATCTTAATGTTAACGTATGACTTGATTAGAAACGTCATCTAGCGAACCTACCGCATCGATCTTTACCACATGCCAAACGTCAGATTGCACCCGCTTTTGCACTCAGTCATTACACGCCAGCACCTCCCACAATCACTCCCGCAGACTCGGACTCGGAGAGAACTCCCATCATTGCAGAGCCGACGAATTCTCACTATTCATGGACCTCGTCGTCGTTAACAACGGCCACACAACCGCATGATGATGAACAAATGAATAACAGCGGAACTTCATTTTCAAGTCAAATGTCAGAAGGACCAACTTATTCAGATGATTTCGATATGACCGATGGTGGCATGCATCTAGCTCCTGGTCTGTTCCAGCAAGATTCTTCTGTTAGCTTAGCCAACCGAATTCCTACCCCAATTCACAGCTCCTTCTCCGCCTATCCCCGACTCGATAAACCACTCCACCCTATTCTCTCCGAACCAAATCTCACCGATGATGCATTCATCGATCGCTTTCGTCGCGGTCGACGCCTTCCCAGCCCCATTAGCGAAGGCGAAATGAGCCCTAGTGTCATTGTCAATGGCATTAACGATATGCAAATGGAAGTCGAACCCTCTTTTCCCTCTCCCGAATTTGAGAAAGAAATCCCGACTCCTCACAAGAAAGGCCATACTCGTTCAAAACATAGCTTGCGGAACTGGAATGGATCCACTGGAGAGCTCATGGGAAATTTAGACGGTGTGGGGACAAAGAAGAGCTTCAGTATGGGGTATAGGGCGGATTGTGACAAGTGTCGGAACAAAGTTCCGGGTCACTTTAGTCACATTATTACGTATTGATTAATGGGTTATGCTAATGCAGGTACGAACTTTGGGATGGACTAGGTTAGGGATGGATGGAGATATGAATTAGGCCATGGAAATATCGATACATCTGGGTGAATGGAGTGAGGCGATTACACTATGATCAGCTGCCAGCTATTCAGCAAGGCGTTTAGGAGCTGTGTCCAAGCAATTTCCAAACAGAGGTAATCATTGCTAATATTATTAATGAACATATATTAATCAATCTATGCCTGTGCAACGTTATGATCTTGAAATTTCTATTCTTTGGTATCCCAATCGAAGCGAGCATTCAACCTGCTTGTTTTTTCAAAATCCTCGCGAGCATCCAAACCTCGCTCGAAGCGGTTCACCATTCCAAGTTCCTTTGGTAGCTGGAGCCATTACATGATTCTAACATTGCTGAATCGAGGTGATCGAACATCCTCTACTTCCCCCATACATTTCAGCACCTACATATTCGCTCTCACACACCCGAGCAATAAGATACTAACCAACAATCTTCATCTCACCTCTCCACATCTCTAGATTGCGGTGCAGGCAACTAACAAATGAATAAGTAAATAATCGAGTAAATAAACAACCAGCTAGGTAGGTACCTCCTTGGGATAAATAAACAAACAAACAGAAATACGATATGCGATATGCAATGTGGAAAAAAGAAATGGGTAGTACTGTAATTCTTGGGATGAGAGGGATGAGATAGGTAGATAGGATGAGATAAGAGAGGGGAGACGGGAGCTCGAGGGAGTCTGATACCTAAGGTTACCTAGGTACTTTTTTGCATGTCGTCGGGTAAGTGTTTTGCCGGTGATTTTTTGATCTCGCTTGGTTGAATAGTGGGGAGGGGAGGGGGGAAGGAGGGTGATACTGGCGATTTTTTGGGCTTGGTGATTAAGCTTTAGGTAGGTAGGTATGGATAGCTGTGGGTATGGATTAAGTTTGGGTTTAGGTAGCTTTGTGGAGAGAGGAGTGTGGATGGATGGATGGATTTATGATGTGTTTGAATTTTTTTTTCTGGGGGTTTGATATGATGTAATAGATCTGGGGTTGAGGTTGGGGTTGAGGTTGAGATCAAAATGGGAAGTTAGTGGAGAGTGAGGTGAGGATGTATGTTGAGATGGGGTTTTGAGGGTTAATTAGTTGGTTAGTTGGTTACTTGTTGACTCATTCAGATTCTGGAATGGGAGCGAAGGGGTTGATTTATTTATTGTTTTTTTTGCTGTGGTTGGTTTATATATATGCTTATGTATGTATTTGTGCTTGTCTGTGGAGTGTGATTTACATAGTACCTAGGTAAGATAGATACATACTTATGTTTGCAAGATTTCAGATCTGGTGTGCAATACGTGTGATTTTGGGATATGGAGTTTAGATAGATTTTAATCCGGTGCGATAGTTCTGATTAGAAGGCTTGAGACTGCGACTACGGGTTAGTGATGCTGTTGAGAGTGAATGTGGAATGGATTATGGTACCTACTGGATTATAAGGTGGATGTGTGCGTGGCGTGAGGAGATGCCAGTCAGTGTCACTTCTCCAATCGATCTAAATTTCAACATGCTCTCTTGGTCCTGGGTTCCGGGTATGAGTTCTGATTTGATTGTACTCTTGCGTTGGCTTTATTCAAGAGTACAACCAAATCCTGATCTGTAGGTAACGACAGTCCAAATACCTCGCCAAGCGCTATATATTTCTCCGGAAAATAGAAATCAGTACGTGACTGCGTCTTGCCTAAATCTCCTTTTCAATCGATCGTAACTTTGGTATGCCCTTGAATTTGTGAAGTTTTTCCCAGGAAACAAAAACCATAATCTGACTATGTCCTTGACCTCTTTGTCAAAACATTGAAACTATCCTCACAAACAGACTATAACTTTCAGGGGAGACAAGAACACTGTTGTCTAGTGGTACATGGAGGTAAAAGCACATCCGAGACGGAAGACAGACATTTGAGTCTAGTAGTAACGATGGCCTTGCTAAGAATTGAGAAACTTCGCGTTTTGGATACAAAACGAAAGGCGGCAGAAGACTGATAAATCACTATGCCGCTATCAGGAAGCAAATGTTTTAAACAGGAAGTCGAAGTCGAGGTCATGTAAGATTACATGAATCTGAGTGTCAACAGCGCTCGGTAGACCGCATGACGTTTTCAACGACGTGGTCTAGCATGTTTTTCTGTGAAGACGTCTACTTCGACTCGCATGTATATGAAATCTTAAATTTTCGGATGATTATATTGAAGGTTTGAGAGTAGAGATGAAGAGGTGGATGTACCATCTTACCTCATAGAATAAAGTCTCTCAATGTGTTGAATATAAGAAGAACATGGTTTAAAAGGTTCTCGACTTGTTTGGAGAGATTCGAGGCATAGTATGAATCACTAGAAGCATTCACCATGTATTATTTAAGGAATATAATCAATGATTGGCCATCCTTTGGAAGAAAAGAAGACATTGATAGAAATACTAACCAAATAGTCCAATTGAATAAGGAAACACCCCTGAATGTACTCTGTGGAATAGAGCAGTGATGAGGTACCAAAAACAAAAGAAAAAAAATAACATTGACCTTCCAAAAACATTGGAAATCTCCAGCAGCTACGGAAGAGTTGACATCGAGAGGCATCTTTGTAGTGTGAAGCTAGGAGAAACTATTTCTAGCTTCCGGCACTCTGAGTTGTCACCCACACTATCCTTCGAACTTCATCCCATACCAGAATTCCTGGAAACAAAACGGTGTACAGGACTTATCCATCGCCAATTACAATAAATATGAGCATTTTCAAGACTATGATTCGAACACCAATTATTTCGACTGTTCGTTCTTTGCACCGGATTCCGTTATCCCGCAACCTCCATTGCAATACCAGTCCAGTACCACACTTGAGTAGCAATCACCATTCGCCCCGATACCATTTTTTCGGTTCGAAAGCTGCTCAATCTCATATATCCCTTCAGCATCGTCTCAAACACTCGACAACTCTGACATACGAACAAAAGCACCAGCAATTTCGAAACCAGCACCAATCCTTCCACGCCCGCATGTCTACGCCCAGAAAAGTATATGAGGCAAATAGATGGTTCTGTTTGACTGGGATCTTTGTTGCTTTTGGTTTTCTTGATATACACTTGTACTTGACTCGAGATGGTCAAAAGAAAGAGGTAGAGGAAAGGAGAGAGGGTCAATGAGAAAGCGAGTGTTTCTAGAGAAGTGGAAGGCAAGAAATTCGACGAGTTAAATGCGAATGGATTACTATTGGTGGTAGAATGGAGGGGTTTCTATGGAGTTTAGTATTGACATATATTTGTGTAATAATTCTGGTGTTCAAGTGTATTTCAACAATTGGACGAACAATGGGCGTTCAAGTATTGCCATGTTGTGATTTATATACTGACGTCAACGTCCATTGTCCAAACTTGGCGGGGCACGCTCAGCGGGGTACATAAGATCTTACATACTCACTCTACAGATTCGCGCTAGTCAAAATAGACACACCTGACAGTTATGGTACACATTCGCCTACAGCAAGTGAAATACACAAGAGAAATTGCTCATAGCTAATTAGTTCTCACGTGAATTGATAGATTTTGATCCTTGTGCTCAGTGAGAGCTGTCAGAGATGACAGTGTACCCACCTAACCATCGGAGGAAGCTAAGGTTAGTTCTCGAGGTCACGCATTGTAGATTATTATACTAATAAGTCTTTCAACAATAACTTACTACGATACCACAAGCCATTCCAGATATAGGAAATCACAAAAAGCAGATAAATTGTCATAAATACTCTGCGATTAGCTATCGAGGGAAGCATTGTTGATCATGAGCTTTGTTGACCATATCACGTTGGCGGTTGAATCTCCCGAGATATCAAATTCGCTAAAGATTTTAGGGCGTGTAGAAAGGTTGCATGATCATGAGTTCTCACCACAAGCAACATCTACGATTCCACCATGGCAAGAACTCTTTCTTTCTTCTCATTATCAGTAAACTGAGATGGAATTCTATATCTGACGGTCCAAACTTCCAACGCGGAATTTTGGTACAGTATTGACAAACCAAGTTAGTTCTATTGTTTTGTCGTAGCAATTGGGGGATTTACTTTTTCAGGTCATCAAACTTTTTAAGCTGCGTTCGCGCTTCATAGGCAGCAAACTGAAATCGAAAACTGGAACAGCCTCTGGGATCTTTGCTTCGCCGCGAAACAATCCCCCGACAACAAGTACATACATATTAGCATGACTCTGTACTCCGATACAAAGTGTCGTGGGGTCCTGTCAGATTCCCCATTGCCTTTCCTTCACAATACATAATTGATACAGACATGAAAATTTCTACACCGAGGCTAAAGCGCATCCCAACATTCACAAAACTGCTGCGCGTAGAAGATTAAAACTGTGCAACAATTAGTTTGTGCACAGTGGCCGGATATGAGAACCTGATGTCGGGATTTTCTGGAATCCTTTACTGCAACAGAGAGGTTTTATGACTCAATGTTGTGGTATCGCATCGTTTCTTTATGTTTTAGATTTTTCCGTTGTTAATGTCGATATCGATTTTGTTATCATCTTCTAGCTTCTTTTCCTACATCTATCATACTATCAATTTAGCTTCTCTTAATAATTCCAGCAATACTAGGCGCTTATAATGACGGGAGCGTGGAGGAACAGCACGAGCCTAAAGTTGGGGTCGATCTAACGTTATGGCCAGTAGTCAAAAGGTACGTTTACCGCGACTAATCCTAAATCCTTTTAAAAGGAATACTTCTGAAACGATCTCTTCAAGAATAGAAATTATGATCTTCGATTACAGCCTCCGCCAAAGATCTACAGTGAACATGTTGAACATTCGTCTTGGAATCATTCTTGGCTGAATAAGTGATGTTCGCAATTGTGTTTTCAACAATTTGACGTAGAAATTCCAGTTTTGTATCTGGATGTGTCAGAAGCCTAAATCAAGCATTGTCAAAGATGACAACTATATATAAATAAATATACAGAGCTAATCGATCTTGTGGCCATACATTTCAAACACCTGCTTAGCCGCACCCACGCAGCCTTATCTGACCGCAGCTGGCGCAATCCTTCATTCACCATGATGGCTACAGCCAACGACACGATTAGAAAAGTTATATGTACTGAGATCTACACAGCAGCAATCAGAGTTATGACGTTGGAGTTTTTTCTGTTCTTCGGGTTGCTTTTATTTAATAGTTCTGGAAACTAAGATTGTGATTTTTAATTTGTCTGCAAAGAAACTCTCACCACGACGATCATCTAAAGTCACATCCTTAATTCATCTACAAATAGAAGAATCATCGCAGCTAATTCAAAATGATTTCACGAGTCCTATTAGTACTCTCTCTTTTCTTCACAATCATCGCCGCAACCTCAATCCCAATATGTATCACCGATTCCAGCACAACAACCTCTTTCAATATATCTTCTCTATCCAAATACACCACCCAAATCTGCACCCAAATCGCTTCCAACAATTTCTCATCCACGGCCAAGAACTACAATATAGATTCCAGCTCCAGCTCCATCGTTTCGCTTGCCTTTACATCTGCAGCCACAACTTGTCCAGGGAATAGTTCCGCAAGCGACTGCGAAATCGTTTATGATCATCTTTTCTCTGGGTGTAAGTTTTGATTTGAGTTTTCTCTTCCTCCTCTTTTATATTATAATTGAAAAAAGAAAAAGAAAGTAAGTAAAACAAAAACTAACATATCCACAGGTGGTGACAACAGTTCTTCAATCACGGGTTCAGGTTCCATCGATACAGGATGTGGCGTATATAATTTCCAACTCATAAATACAAATCCGAATACTTCGAATTCGACAAGTGTATCGAGTGAGAGTGGAGCTAGTAAAGCTAGCGTGGTTAGTTATTGCACCGTCACGGGTAGTGTGCTGTTTGGAGTGGCGGCATTGTTTGGCTGGTTTCTGTGAAGAGGGGTTTTGTTGTTGGAGTGGGAGATGATTGTTCGACTGCTGGATTTATAGGTATATTTGTTGTGGTTTCGGTAGATGTGGTGGGAATTGGTTCAGTGAGATTTGTTGCGCTAGATGCGAATACAGTTCGGTTAGGATGGGTTTTCGTGGCTATCCCTCTTCATTGTGATTCAGTCTGAGGACGTATCAATTTCTATTAAAATGGTTGTTCTTGCTGCATCCTTGCATCAGAGTCTTTGATACATTAGATTTTATTTTTGTTTTTATGATTTCACGAGTGCTATTTTTAAAGCAATTTATCGAGCGGGACAAAAGGAGAGAGAATCTGAAATGTATATCATTCAAACATAATTCATCTAAGAAATCCTTCAAATTTACTTCTCAATACCGTTGTGCTAGCAATCCTTCCGATAGGTGAATTCACTATATATGCATACCGGAACTTGGAGAAAGATGCTATCAGTTCTCTCGGAGAGCACTCCTGTCATGAATACACTGTCAATTAGTGTATACTATTCTCTTGATCTTTCGAGAAGCCAATGTACACTGACGTATACACCTTCTGTACATCTATAATAATCACCCACTAAATCCTCCTAGCCTCTAAAAGCTCTCATCATCAAAAGACCTAAAAACAAAATCCGCATCAATTCTCCCATTCCCATTTCCAAATTTCCACAACTGCAGTAGTTATCCATTCCAACCCCCAGAAAGCAACAACTCCAATCTCAATGAATACAGACCCCAACCTCCCAGAAATCCACTCAAAGCAAAACCATCATGACTGGATTAAAATCCGCCGTTTTAACTGCCCTATCAAGTCCCCGCATGAGATTCATCAGCGAATCGACAGGCTCATAATATTCATCCAACATAAACTCGCGAAGTTTCGACAGCATGCGAAGTTCATTGTGATTTGCTTCTGGAGAGGTGAGACTTCGATCCGAGCCTGAGGGCAACTTCAAATCCTGAGTCGCACCTGCATCTGGTTTTTGTGCTAAGTCGAGATTTGGGTTAGGTTCTGAGGGTGTGTTAGATGAGTCTAAGACATGATCCCAATTGGGATTCCATTTACTGTCTGGAATTTCTGGGTTGGTTTCGCGATTGCTGTGCGTTTGTGTATCCATATGCGTATCTATATCACTATTTCCACACGTCTTCATATTCCAGCTTTTATCCACCCATCCTTTATCCATCCACCCTTTTCCAATATAAGCACAGTGAAATATCGAAATATCAGAATTCAATCCTTGAACAGAGATTTTCGTCCTGATTTTTTCATCGAGATGAGCATTCCTATAATCATCCACAGGTCGCAGGACTCCACAAGAATGATTCTCCGTCCCATCGTAAAAATGCAGTACAAAATCTCCAACTTTTGTCGAGCGGGGAACAATCCCAATACTCACAAGCCAGGGAGATTTAGAGAATCGCGCAAAAGCTCTTTCACTAATGACATTCTCGCTAGATGGAAATATCGCCGCAATAAGTAGAATAGCAATAGGAGAACCGTGAAAAAGTTGCCATAGCTTGGCTTCAGAAAGTTCGCAGATTTCGGAAAGCTTGCAGCAATATTTGAACACCTGATGCATGGCCTTGCTGAAAAGTTTATAGTGTCGCAGATCGGGGCTCTTCCAGAAAATATCCTGTACTCTTAGAGACTCCCATGATACGTAGAGACCTTTGTATAAGTTCCGAAGCTTGGAATTGAATTGGAGATCCCATACCTGCCGAACGTCAAGTTTGGGCCTGTCCTTGTACATGTCGAGAAGTTCGTAGAAAGTATCAATCAAAATCTGTTTTTGCTCGGCAAACTTTGAACTTGAGAAGTCCGGTGTAGCAGTCTTGGTCACAACGGCAATAGCTTGAAAGTCACAGTATACTGTTAAAATCTGGGGATCAACGGGTATGATCCAAGGTCCCACTTTAGAACTCATTTTCAATTCTCCAGGCGCCGGAATATCCGTGATCTGACCTCCCACAAACGGCCAGCTAGAATTCGGCAGGTCATTTCGTCCGAGAGTCCAATCTGGTACCCAGCTGGGTAAGCCCTCTCGTTTCAAATGGGGACGCATAGTTTCGGAATGAAATAGCATATCCCAGAGTCGTCTTGGCTCGGTAGAGATAGCAATGTAAAACGCCGCATCGACAAAAACCTCATCTACGCTCTTGGTGTAATCCACTACCGGCAGATAATCTTTCGGGTCCAAATATGAAGAAATTCCATAACTGTACGGAGGACGAATTTCAGCAACAGCAAGATATCCGTAGATGATGTCTCTAAAATCGGAAACTCCCGACCCTTGTCGCGATGCGAGAATACTCAGAAGAGAGGATCCGCCAGTAACACCGCTCTGAAACTTCCGTCGCGATACATCCATGCTCCTCAATATTTCCAGATGATACGCATCCGCTTGAGTCACGGTCTTGGAAGATATACGTGAGGATGAATCACTCTGAGCCGCATACTCTTGCGCACCTACATCGATCATCGGTGTATCCGATCTTTCTTGTGGACATGATAAACATCCAGCCTCAATATCCGAGTTAACAACAAGCTCATTATTCCCATTCAAAAACACACTACAAAGATCCTGCCACAGGACTCTGCACCTCCCAATCTGCACCACAACTTCTCGCGAAAGAAGCAATTCCTGATACGTCCAAACTCTCGTAAACCAAGGACGCGAGAGCACATCACGAAATGCAAGACCATGCGCTCCCGACAATCTAGCATCTGCTCCCCCTCTCCCAATACAATCGAACAGCGTGTCTATTTCCTCCGAAGACTCGCCAAGATAAATGACAGTCCGACCCCCCAGCCGATAAATCTCTCTCATCAACCCCAATTGCTGAGTACGCTCGCCCAAATTATCCTGATCAATACATATTGCATCTGCCCATAACCGCAGGGGTCGATTTTCATCACGAAGATGAATAAGGGCATCTGCTAAATTAACTGTTACAGAAAACGGCCTTTCATTAATAAATACAATTTTCCTCGCCCTTGGATCTCCCCAAACATAAGAGAGTGCAGTATAGCCATCATAGATATCCAATCGACACTCCTTCAAACTCGTATGCACGAGACTACAATGGATTGGAGAAGAAGGGATACCTGGATGTATAATCAAGAGACGAATTGCATCTGATTCTGTGAGGTTGTGGTATTCGAATGCTGCGGGATGGGCTCCTCGAAACATGCGTGATGGGAAGTGGAAGAGGAAACTCATAACCAAACTGATTCACAAAGTGATCTCTCCACGAAGAGAAAAATTGGTGCATACAAGAATAGCTACTCAAACACTTCCTCGCGATCCACCGAAAATAAATAAGAAAGCTAGGAAGTAGAACCTTATGAGACTCATGAAATATCAAGTTGAATATTGTAAGTTACAACCAGCCGCTTATTATCCTGTCCCACTGAGCGCTTAAGTAGCAGTGATGCTATCAAATTTAGCCGCGTTCCCCGCTACCTACAACGTGGAGACGATTGCACAATCCAGTCTAGTAAGCATACAGGGAATGAATGAAGTGACAAGGTAATCTTTTGAGAAGCATAGGTAGGTATTCCTACCAACCCCAAAGAGACTGTAACACATAATATTAGTACATCTACATAATAAAGCATTCAATTCCTGCATGCCCTTTATCATCAATCCATGAATACCTCGATATCCTATTCCATTACCTGACAACAAACTCTCCAATTACTCACCCCATTCCCAAAATTATGATTCATCGCTAGCTAGCTACCTAGTAGGTGCGTATCTTATCTCAATGCATGGCATGCACCGCAACCTTCCCCCTGTTCTGCCCAAGGCGGTAAGGTTCACGAATACGAATGAATAGCATCGGAGTCATCCAATTCCCAATGACTCTATTGATCAAACACTGAGAACCTTGGAGTATATAACCTTTAACTTTCCTCAAGAGGGAGTTATTCGTTTCTTCATACCACATCATCTCGTCGCATCTAATAGTTAGTATGGATCATAATACAATGGAAACCAATACCTTCCCAGCAGGTGCGTTACGATCTCATTTTCACTTCCCCAATTCGTATATACCCATCACGTTTAGCATCACCTTCACACAACCCACCTCGAAGATCATGTTATTCAAGAGTAAAAAGGACAACATAAACTGGATCATGTAGAAAGAAAGACTCCAGAAACCCACCAACAACAATCCAATACAATCCAATCCAACCAAGTAGTCAAAATATCCCAATCAACTAACCAACCCCAGGACTCCTCGGCAACTACTACTCCGTCCGTCACGAACTAGGTCTCTACCGTTCCTGTGCCGTAACATCCTACTACAGCTTCAGACCTAGCACTCCCAATCCCATTCCTGAACTAACCTCCCGCCTCCAACACGCCCTAAGCAAAACCATAGAAAAACACCCCTCACTCTGTTACGGTCTCCTCCCGGGCTCAAAAAGCCACAACCTCCCCGCCCGCTTCAAACGACTCCCCCAACTTTCCTGGGACGATCTCGTATCCATCTCCTCGCTCCATACAAGCAGCGATGCTCCATCCCAGGAAACGCGTGTTTGCGAAGAGCTAGGAGCTTCTCACGCGCAGCTCTTCCAGGACCAGGAAACCAAACCCGCCTGGAAACTTCGGGTTCTCGTGCACGAGATGGAAGATCAGACTTGCAAGGTCCACATACTCTTTGTAGTGAATCACGCCATTGCCGATGGATTAAGCTGTGCTTCTTTCCAACGGACTTTGCACGAGCAATTGTCGCTAGCGACAGTAGAAACGGTGGAGAAACAGAGTGTGCAGTGGCCGTATATAGTACCAAACAACATCGGGAAACCAATAGCCATCGAGGACGCCATGCAAATCAGTCCCCCAGGCTACGAGTCCTTCGCACCCACCACAGCACCTCTCACCGACGAAAAAGTGAAAGAAGAAAAAACATGGGCAGGAAACTTCCCCAACATGCCCACCATCGAATCCTACAAATCTCTCGTCCTCCTCGTGACCGTTCCCCCCGAGAAAGTTCAACGAGTGGTAGAAACGAGTCGCCGTCTGAAAATCACCGTCACGGGTTATCTGCACGGGTTGATCACCAGCTATCTTGCGCGCGCGGTCGTGACAAATGACCAACTTGGTCTGAAGGCTCACACGCCATACTCGCTGCGGAAATTTAGCAAACTCCCACTGAGTGACGTAGCAAACCACGTAGCCTTCATAACCACAACGTGGGACGCGGGACTGTTAGACCGAATCCGTCATGCGAGAGAGGAATCCCCCGAAGAAGAAGCATTGATTGCCGCGATGGGAAGACAGATAACCCAAGAGATCTCGACAGATCTGAGCAGAATCGAAGCCGG